CCAGCAGACACTGGGAGGTTTGGCAAAATCCACAATATCACAGCAGTAAACACACAGTGACATCTGCTCCAAATGTCCATTCTCCACCGTGTTAAATTAGTTTAAAACATCAAGTTATTAATAAAGATGATACTGCAGAGGAATTTAAAGCCACTGCTTCAGCTTTGCAGGCAACTTTGCTGCTGGCTCAGTGGAAAATGGCTTCTCCCAGGAAAATGGTCACAATTTCAGTATTTTTTGAAAGGAAACAGGTTTTTTTCACCCCAACAAATGGGAGAAAATGAGACATAAGCTGAGATGAGCCATGGCTGTAAGGGCACTCCTCTGAGGTGGAGACAGCCACGTTCACGTGCCAGGCCTGGCTTTAGGCAGGAGCGGGTGCTGAATGTCCACGTCCAAACCTCTAATCCAGACCCTGGGATGTTCTTGGATGATTCTGGTCCTTGTTCCAGCCTGAACCTGAAAAATCTTTTCCACTAAAAATGGCAAATTGCCATGAAAAGGACCCTGTTTGATAAACCAGCCCATTCTGACAGGATATATTTCCTTGGAGATTTTCCAAGCAGCTGTAACACTAACAACACTGGAAAGGCCTTTCTGCTTGGCTGGAAACACCAGTTTTGTGGAAATCAATGGCAGATGTTACCCAGTGTGAGATCCATTCTCAAATCGAAGTAAGTCCAACAGCCTGGGAGACACTGCAGCGAAGAGGAATTCCTGTGCTGAACCCGCGGGATGGCACCCTCGCTAGCACACACCTCCCAGACACACCTCACGCCCCTTGCTCCCAGGCAATCCTTCCTGGCCAAACAAGTTACACTGGTATTTATTTTCCAATACTTTTTCCATTTTCTGGCACTGACTACACTGGAGAGAGAATCTGTGAACAAGCATCGGCTTGGTTCCCTGCCGAACTGGAGCAGCTCCCTGGCCGGAGGGAAGTACCGAGCTGGTGATGGAGCTCCACGCAGAGGTGAGCAGCTCCAAAATGTGCAATAGCAGCAGAGGTGTGACCCAGAGGACCTGAGCCCGGGGCTGTGACCAAGGGGCTGTGCTGCTGGGGTTGCTGAGTCCCTCTGCCATTATTGGTGCCCAGCCCCAGGGTGGATGCAAGAGAGACAAAGATCATCTCGAGGTGCACAGAGACCCCTGTGTCGAAGTGATGGGTGATCTGGATGAGGCAGGGATGTCTTCTAATAGATCAGGTTGCTCAAAGCCCTGTCCAACCTGACCTTGACCATTTCCAATAGTGGGGCATCCACAACTTCTCTGGGCAACCTGTGCCAGTATCTCACAATTCCTGCAGACCTGAGAGAAACGTAGACTGCTGGAGGGGTTCATCTGCCCAAAAAGAGGTACCCGCAAAATGCAGGTGCCAACATCTGGTTTACTCATCCCAGGATCTCCATACTGTCAGTGGAAGAAAACGGCCACATTCAGGGAGTGCTTGTCTTCCTTCTAAAGAAGATGTGATAAAACCAGTCAAGGGAATGGCATCATAGAATCATAGAACGGCATCACACAAGATGGAGTTTCTCCCTGTCAGTTGAGAAGAATCATCCTGTCATTATGTGATTTTTCTGTATCCAAACCAGCCATCGTGCTGCACCGCAGGTGTAACTGCATCTCAGAAGAATAAAACATCCCCTCTCCCTCTCTTCCGGCACACTCAGAGCTAAATTCACTGCCTGCAACCCCCCAGCTTTTACCTTTACATTAATCTGCAGCTTAATGAATTGACTCTTTTAAAATGCTTTGAGAGAGGAAAGGTGTTTTAAAAGCACAAAAGGGCCATTAGTATCAGATGTCAAGCCGTAATAAAGAACAATTGTGCTGCTGGTGCTTTCATGATTAGTCAGGGCACCCCGGGGTTGCATTATTTCGTTTGCAACTTGACAGAAACGTGATACCAGCCCCTCTTTGGAAAAGTAACTTTTATTTTGTTGAAGCCATACGTTTCCAAGGATAGAGTAAAGCTCACAAGCCATAAATCATGCCCAGATAAGAATAATCTCAAACAATAGTTAGTTTGTAGCAGGATGTTTCTTGTTCTGTGATAATTGCTCAGGGTTCGAGACAGATTTCCCATCGCCTGCTCAGACATGCAGCACGGAAGAAAAATGCCCTGTGCCGGTTGCGGTTCTTAGTGTTTGAAATCTGAGCATGTTAAGACAATTTTTAATAATACTGTTCCACGTCTGCGCAAATCCTACAGCGCTGACAGACCTGGATTTCAAGGACTGTCCACCTGTGGTCAAAGACACAGTTGCAGCACGGAGACCTGCTGGCCTGACCTGAGCTAGGCTGGGTAGCAATGGTGATGGAGATGTGGCAACACAGACCTCCCAAGGTGTCTCAGCTTTGCTGCCTCTCAGCACATAAGCTCCCATGTCACTGCGACCGGGGGGTGCACTGGAGATGCTGGTGGAGCTGGGATGCAGGGATGCTGGGTTAAGGTGTGGGGAAGCTGCTCTGGTGCAGGACCTCCGAGAAGTGCGTCACTGGCCGCTGCGCAGTGCCGCACAGCTAAGACGGGTCAGAGATAAGGCCACGAGACAGGCAGCTGTGGGGGGCAGCTGCCTCCTCCCCAATGCTTGGCCTGCACTTGAGAGCTGCTGCCACCATACATGCCTTCAGATGCTGCTGGGGACCCTGGGTCCACCAGGCTGGTGCCCCTGTCACTGCACCCTCGCAGCTCCTGGGACCTGAGCTGGCTGCTCTCCTGCCTTGACAGCTGCCACGTAGCCCGAGAGGAGTGCTGGGGTTGGGATAGGGTCCTATGAAGGAGTGAGAAACCAGCTCCACATCTGGCTCTGCAGCGAGGAAGGCATG